CCCCCCCCCCCCCCAGCCGGCCGACCAAGAAAAGAACAAGGATCTTGCCCGGTTCTTTATACTTCTCGTCGGCTTAATTGTACTAAATTTCATCATTTTATATTTATCACTCATTTATTTCCATGCGAGACAAAGGAAACAAAATCATCAGCTTAAAAACATCATATTGGAGCTGAATCTTAAAGCACTCGCATACAAAGAGCTCGAGGAAGCCACCAAAGGCTTATGTGAAGAGCACGAAAGAGGAGAATGAATCACGATTTATAGAGGAAATCTCGGTCCTGAGTTCACCTGAACCCTTGATACTGATAAGGAATTTGCTAACAAAGCAAAATTTATTGGTCAAACTCACCATAAGAACCTCATGGGTCTCCTTGGCTACTACAACCAAGACACGAAGAGGCATCTTGTCTATGGGTACATGAGTAAATGCTCCCTTGAAAGCTACCTCTTAAGCAAAATTTGGTTGGCTTGGGAATAGAGAGTGAAAATTATACTCGGGATTGCGAGCTGCTTTGATATTTACACGAAGATTATAGCACGCATATCATTCATTGTGACATAAAGCCGTAGAACGTATTCCTTAACAAGAACTTCAATATAAGGATTTCAAACTTTGGGCTTGCAAAGCTTCTTAAAATAGATCAGACCAGTGGCGAATCCATATCATTTTTTTATGGTGGGCAAACTCAATATATAAAAAAATAAATTAAAAAAATTATATATATATATATATATAGTTTTGTTTTTAAAGTAAGACTTTTTAAAACTATCAATTCACCCCCCTCTATGTGTTCTTAGAGATAGTTCATTGATGATTAACGTCCAACATCAAACTTTCACAACTTGTACTAGAGTAGATGCCCTGCAATTTGAAAACTTCTAGAATAAAAGTATAAAAAACCAAAATCAAAAGATTATGTTTGCTTCTGTACTATTTTTCCCTATGATGATGAATATTACTTAGTGCTTACTCAAAGACTAAAGTCTTATATTCTTTTTGCAACAAAAATTACCCATAAATGAACTCTCTTTAAAAATTTCAAATAACTTCGTTGAATCTCAAGTTAGGGATGAGCACCAAAACATGAAGAATAAATTAAA